ATCAGTGGTTAATCGCATATTGCGCGTGACAGTCGGTGAATTTTTGCACGATTCCGAGAGAGAGCAAATATTTTCCCGCGCATTAAATACACGGCTATCGTCCATTTCGTGGGAATGTCACGGAAGGCAGAGGTTCGAGGGGGAGCCGATATTCGGCCGGAGTTTATATATGAATATGTAGGACCCGTGACCCTCTTCACTTTGCGTTTCGGCCACTAAACGAACCATCCGAAGGGTTCGCCGTTGCTATTTCAACCGAAAGCTGCGCATCTTATCGGAATAACTCCTCGAATAAATTTCCGGTTGCTCGAATAATTGCTCGTTGCCCCTGCGGATCGCGCACGCTTATTATTTATGGCGGCGATTATTTGTTGCCCGCCGATAACGAATCCTCGATAATAAATCGACTGTTACCATTCGTTGAATTATTATTCTTTAAGTTCGAACTTTACTTTGGAGCATACGAAATTATTCGCTTCCTTTTCTATATTCTAATAGTATTCGATGAGAAAAGTTAAGAAATACAAGTTTTAACTCTAGAAACCCATTCGTTATTTTGACAGATTTAATGAAAGTTAATCTTAAATAATCAGATCCAAAGTAACTGAAATTACTTGCTACCCAAAACATCACGCTTTCTCGGAATATTACAAACCAATATGCACTGAGCGTCGTATTTAGTTTGAAAGCGTGTTAGTAGTAGATTCGAAAGTGGAATCGAAACGTCGCTGGGGAATCGTAATAACCATCAGCAAGGGGTGGTGCGATACGAGATGCAAATTATTCCTAACGGCGATGCAGACGTATCCCAGGTGGTATCAGTGCGATCCGTGATTATCGGAAAAAGTATAAATCGCTAATAAACGGTACCATATTTTTACTAATTTCCACGGTATTCCGTCTCTCTCCCTCGCTCTATTCGTTTTACAACGAACACGTCGACAGTGTAGTAACAAAAGAGGCGCACGCGTTTCGACGCTTCGTTGGACTCGTTAACGGAACCAGAATGGTTCTTTTGTTCGGCCGTGAAATACAATAATCAGATTCGAATTCGTAAATAGATTTCGCGATGTGGCGAGATAGAAGCATCGGTTGGTTGATCACAATTTTCCTGTGAAAAACGTGCTAGTTGCGTTCACTCTGGGAAAATCGTAGATTGAAATTTCATATAATTAGTCCTTTTAATTAAATTCGTGTTCCTCTATTTTTCGTGAAATTTCTGGTGACACTTGAGTTCTTTACATAAGGAAAATTTAATGTTGTATGTCTTTCAAATTTCTATTTTAAAGTTTTAAAATGGCACTAAAATTCCTTATACAGCGTGCTAGGAATAATTTAACCGGCGCGTTAAAAATCGTTATCGTGTCGAGGATCTACGGAAGGCGATGCTTCCTGAGGCGAAAGTGGAACACGAACGCGATTCATATCGAGCTCGCGTGATTTCTATTCGATGAATAGACACTTTCGATATTTGGTAACAACGACACTCGCACACAGGAACATCGTTCGAGCTTCCGGGTTAACGATTATCGTATATTTTTAACCGTCCTCTGTCTCACGTTGCGTCGTACATCCCGCAGGGACCGTTTTTTTTCCCCCTACAACTCCCTTTTTTTCATGGAGAATCATTACGAGTATTCGGTCAATGGAACATCGATTTACTGCATGCGAGAGACCAGACTTTTACGATGTACATTTGGGACCCACTGACGTTTGCGTTTCCACGAAAAAGCCTTGATGATTCGATGCATTAACGATCATTTTACGACACCTGGCTCGTAAAACGGTCTGTGATTAATCGCGACCGATACAGGATTTATTGAATGTATATGAGTTCAGATTTCGATGGTTTTTACTAGAGGTCTGCGATAACACGAAAATTTCGGGTGGGAATTTCGGATCGAGTAGGAATTGTTAAGGTCGGTTCGGGATAGGTTCTTGAAAGTATAAGTATACAACAACCCGAGCGAACCTGAGTAACGAGTACTCGAAATTGTTCGGCTTCTCGCGCACTTCGAGTTTCTACAAAAATTTCCCATTTGCTTCCGGTCAGTTATTTAGTTTCGTCAAACGTATCGAAGCGAAGCGTAGGTACACACGCGTGAAATACGCTCGAGAGGATCGTTCGGGAATGCTTAGACGCTTGAATTGCATTTAGACTTTCAAATTAAGCCGCTTTTTCCCGACCCCATGGCCGACGTATTAATGGAAGGACACTCATGAAGGATATTCGATCGAAGAGAGATGATACCTTTTTTTTCGACGATCATAAAATGCGGATATTCGGCTAGGGAAAATGACTGGAAAATGCGAATACTGAAATTACTTTTGCATTCGAAACGATTTCGGAATATCGTGGAGTTTAACTTGTTAATCATATGTTAGTTGATCATTCATGAATAAAAAGTTTCTATCGATCAACGGATGGTTCAAGCATCGCATGTTGATTAAAAACAAGTGAGGTGAATTAAGGGTCGATGAAGGCAGCAGAAAAATCGAACTACCCAAAGGGAATTGGAAATACGGCTCTCTTTTTCCTTTTCTTCTGATATTCCTAGTAGAAAAGCATTACTAAGAAAAGTTTCATTTTGTATACATTTTTTATTTTCCATCTGGTTCGATATTCTATGACAGTAATCTTTAATGGCCTATCTTCTTTCAATGAAGCATGCACTTTCATGTAATCTATGGATATTAGTGATTGTAATAGCATAAAATGGCCTATTCTGTCTGATTAAATGAATTATAATTATACCAATAATTCAACTAATAGTGTAATATAATACCATCAAACAGCACGAAACTATTGCAAATCACCAATGCCACGTTGAACATACCGAATCATTAGACTAATTGCTAACTAATTGCAAAATATCATATCGTTTCTGTAATTTGTATTAATAATAATTAAAAATTGAAAAGAGCTTTCATCGAGCTGTGTTCAGTGAAATATGTATATTTTCGACCGAGCGCCTTTCATCGGGAACTTTTCATCCCGTAAAATAAATCAATTGGATAATTGTTAATTGGCGTGTGTTTATTCGTCAGCACGCATCGCGTTCGCGAAAACTTTGTACGGGTAAATATTAATGTTCGATAGATGGAAATTTATCGAATTATTAAAACATTCCATGCTATTAATAATTCATCAACGATTATTTCATTTACAAGCACCACGGGGTGCTTATTAAACGCGTATATCCGTCTTTGATCCTGAAAAATTATTAAAATTTCATTGTATACGATTCAATATACTCTAAAATTGTATAATAAATGTTCAACTAGCCGTGGATATAAAATATACAATAAACATTGAAAAATTGATTTGTATAAAATTATTTTGCATTAATTCGATTGCTCTAGTTCAGCTTACAGGCATCAATTAAAATTAAATATGTCACGTTCTTTTAAATTTAATAAATATTTCTCCTCATTTATTCAAGTGTCATATGTGTCCAAATATAATTGTAATAGTAATTTATAATTCTGTACTTATTACGTTATACTTTTGATACGAAACACAGATATTAGATTATAAAATTACAATTCATTCATTATTTACGGGAATGAAATACTTTCAGGTCATAGTAAAAATAGGGGTGTGCGGGAACTCGAAGCCGAATATCAGTTCGGGATCCGAACTCGAATCGAGATCCGCAACTCGGGCTGACATTCGGATCTCGAAATTATGAGTACTTAAATTTTCGAGGGCCAGCAAACTTCCAAGTAAAAATACCCATCATTTTCGATTAGTGTAATTTGTAATTAAATAATCAGAAACTGTTATTACAGATTAATCCGTATCTATCACGGAACGTCCATTTCGACGTTGCGATTCGCATTGAAATTGGATTTGCTTGAGGTTTCATTACGACCACTTGCCTTATCGTCGTTTGAATTATACGCGGCGGTCTCGTGACCGCAATATCGATTCTGCGTTATCGCATTTGCCTTCGATAAACTGTTCGTAACTTTTGCAACGGGCATTCGACGGAAGGAAGGGCAGGATTTTTGATCGGTTATTAATCGGACACGGGATTTCGCGTGTAATCCAACCGCTTAGTCGGTTTAGTAATTATCGAAGGTTGGGCAGGTAGTCGAGGGTGAAACAGACACCCTTCATTATCCCTGGGAAACTATTGTCTGAATCTCCATAAAATTACTCCATTTTCAATTCTTTTTGAAATTTAAAGTATCAAAAGATATTACAAATTCATAATTCGTCTAAAAGAAAAAGAAAAGAAATGATCCAGATTACAAAGGAAGAGCAACACTCAAAACTCTTGAACAAATATATTCACGACCCTCCCGAAGGAAAGATGAAGATGTGTCAAAAATTTCTCGCCATCCCCCAGGCAACGATACTCTCCTTGAGGACATTTCTTTCCCGGCGAAGCAGGCCTCTTATCGTCAGTGATTACGACTTTTTAACGGGGATTTCCTCCCTCCACGCCTTATCTACGAGCAGTTCTCGTTTCCTTTGCCCTTCTGGCTGTTCTTGCCGCCATTGAAGGCCGCTTTCGAACGTTTCCGCGGTTGTAACTGGATTCCCTCCGTCCCCGAACGCCATCGTCTTCTTCAACCCCTTTGGAACCTCGTCGAACCGAGCTACTTCGTCATTCGCCTTTTTCTTTTAACTTTCAATTCGATTTGCATGTGAAAGAATGCCATTCGGCTCTTAGTTCGCTCTTTGGCCAGTCGTCGTCTTAGAAAACCTACTCGACTGAGGTCCACTCTAGCCTTTTCTGTTATGCAAATTTTATTATTCTGACCGATGTCTGAGTCCATCTGACGTGTTCCTTCCTTTATACGATTGCCGAAGGTCTACTTTGCCTGACGTTGCTCAGATGAATCTTTGCAAGACACTTTTACAAAGGAACTTGATCGTTTGATTTGAACTTAAAGAGACGATCCAGGAGATGCCATTTTACCATTATGCCATATCAGCAGTTATTATTGTCTTGAGACAAATACCAAACAGAAACATGATTTTGTTTCAGTGCCTCCGAATATAGAAGATTATCAGACATCCTCGGACGCCATCGTTAGAGAAGGCTCCAATGTGACTCTAACGTGCAAGGCGACCGGAAGTCCCACGCCGACCATAAGCTGGAAAAGAGACGACAATCAGCAGATTTCAATTAACAAGACTCTCTCTGGTGGGTATTTTGTCAGGACGGAAAATATTATAATATACATATATCGAGGAGATCCGTGACCGCGTTTCGATAGATATTCGGCGAGGTCGAGTCTCGGCAATTAAAAATAATGACATTCGCCCGTTTTCGTTCAAAGATCAAAGATGCAATCTGGAAAACTGTGTTACCGGTGTCAGAGGGGAACTCGAAGGAAAATAACGCGTCGAGATGGTACGCTTAGATACGGGAAAAGAACAAAGGGACAAGGGTGTCCCTCGTTAACCCGTCACGTAATTCGATAGATTCAGAAAATGTGCATGGACTGATTAAAATTTCATGGTCTGTAATTATAAAGAAATGACTGGTTGAATTTTTTACCACCCGTTTACGAATCGCGGCACTCACTAATTTATGGGAATAAATAAGGGATGATGCTTTGAGGGTGAAATTAAAAATTCAGTTTGTTACTCTGACGAATATCGTTGAACGAGTAGCAAATTGGAGGTCGGTAAAGGAAACGTGTAATTAACGTGGATTTCTTATTACGAGAGATTTTTAGAACGAATATATTAAATTAAAGAGTCGCAAATGCGAAATGGTTGGACTACTTGGACATTTGTGTCAGTGAGAGAAAAAATGTGAAATGTAAAATTCATAGAAGCGAGGGCAGTGTAAATTGTAGATAAAATTTATTAATCATTCTTTTTAATATTTATTAATGTCAAATGAGCACAAAATAATCTCAAATGCCATAAAATCGTGAGAAATGGCGTCGAGTTGTCGGACGTAATAGATCAACGAAACGAGTTTTCATGGATGCATATTTTATCCATTATTTTTTACCCTGGCATCGTTGATCTGTCAATTAACGCATGGTTTTAAAGGCTTTCAGACTTAATTCTAACAATTCGCCATTGTCGAGTGTGAAAATCAATTAATAAAGAAGCGAGACTGGCTGTCGCGTTAAAATGAAGATTATAATTTGCAGTTCCCGAATGGAAAGGTGAGACATTGGAAATTACTCGGATCTCCAGGCTGGACATGGGTGCCTATTTATGCATCGCGACGAATAGCGTGCCTCCGACGGTCAGCAAACAGATCAAAGTCTCCGTTGACTGTGAGTACATTTTATATTCATCAATCTCTATCAGAAATTGCGTTTATCTCTAGGCTTTGGCATAACTATGTAGGAGCCAGGGTGGAATTTTAAAACTTTAAGATTTTAAATTTTCGCAATTCCATCATTCTAAATTTTGCAATTCCCAAATTCTACAATTTCAAAATGAAATTTCAAAATTTCTGTGAGTCCAGCCCCACTCCAAAAAAAATTTCAGTCCTAACCGCGATCCTAGTCCGGATAATTAATTTCAAATCATTAGAATAACAAATATCATCAAAAATAGATATTTCTTTAAAGTATTAAAAGCATGGAGAGGTGGTTACTTTCAAAATGAAATTTATAAACAAACATAGAGGAATATTTTTTTTCTTTCTGAAACAAGAAATACAATATGGTACATCTGGTAAAGGGGTTGAAGAGCGCACAATTTAATAACAGAGAAAGGTGTCCGGCAACAAAGAGTGTCTTTGTTGCTTACACACTTTTCCCCAGCGATGTACAGAAAGCAGCGGGCGAGGAGATAAGTGTGGAAGGAAAAAAGAGCAGAGAAAGGGAGGTATATTCGTGTGAAAGAGTGAAAGCGAATGGTATAGGGGGATGAAGAGCAACGCTGTTGGGACATAAAAGTAAGCTCAGGCGAACCATGACACACCATTACCGTTTCCATCCCGGGTATTTGCCAATTGTTACGTTACTGCTTCTCCTAAATACTGAAGCGTGCCTTTTCTCTGGCTTTTGTCCGACTTACCGACCCTTATTGCTTTCTATCTATTCCCAAGCTTCATTATTATCCTTTCTTTATTAATTTTTTTTTTTTATCGAAAGTTAAATTTCTCCAGTTGTAAGTTCGACGGGACGGGATAATGCACATGGTCGACAGAACTATTACATTACTCGATCGCAATTTGACTTCAAAGGGCCCGAGGGTAATACTCGTTGACAAAAGCCTTTGCCCGGAGCAGCCGGCTACAAATAGAATTAAAGGACGCCTAAAAGGATAATCCTCGGCGCATCCGCGGACAGACCAGCGGCAAAAACATCCCCTCTTTTCGTATCCTCCCGCCTAACCTCGTCCAACCCTCGTCTGGCCATGAATCGCAATTCGACGCTTCTTTACGACGCCGCTAAATTAATTACTCTCGCTTTGACTAAACGGATAACTCTTTCGTTGTCGTATCTTTTACACGTGATTCATTTTTATTTTACCACCGGCAATATTGCTGAAGATGACGATGACGGGTCATTGCCACGAATTTACCTGTCAATTTAGTCATTTCACCGATTAAAACGCGAGTCGTTACGGACAATCGAGGGGTTATGAAAGCGGTCGAGCCCCGGCTAGAAGTCATCAAATTAGAGGTGATGATACGAGCACGTTCCGCGCGTTTTTATACGCTCAGGACGGAAGATTAATTACGAAGCGGGACAGATTACACCCACCCTCTCATCGTCCCGATGACATTACAACTTTACGAGCTGAAAAACTTACCCTTTCTCCTGTCCCATGGTCCATCATTTCTTCGCCTGGCGCCTCGGTATTATTCTAGCCCAGACATTACACTTTCGGGTATCCGAAATTTTACCGATACGCCTCGGTATTATTCTAATCCAAAAATCATGCCATCGTTTCTGGTAAAAATTCTAAATTTTTAGGTTTTATTTACGTTTACAGCGATCGGCACTTGAAATGTTTGCGTTCACGGATGCGCTTGGTTGTGCCGTTTGAAATTGTATACAGAGCCGAGTTGTCGTTGCTGCCCAAAGGAACGCGTTGTTCTGTTGTTTAAGTTGACTGAGGGCTTAGGAATGGTTGATTCGCCGCAGAGTTTGCGAACGTTGCACTCGTACCTTTGCTTTCGCGGTTGCACAGTTGCTCGAAACTGTTTCTGGGAACCGAGTGTTTAGGATGTCGCACGCTTCCCTTAATCGTGACAGCTTAGTTTCATCTATCCCGGAATTTCTCTCAAGACTCACTTCCCATTTCTTGCGTCACACACAATTACTTTTTTATAGCCTGAAGGATTAAAAGCAGGTGATAACGAGATAGGTGATCGCGAGCCTCGTATTCCATCGTTGAACTTCACTTTAATCAATCCCTTTATAACGATGCCGTGGCCCATTTATTCTTTGCTAGTTTGTCCATTCATTTTTCAGAAAAAAAATGGGAAAAAAGAACAGGTATACCGTGTGCATAACGTATCAAAGCAGCAAACAGCGGCGGTAGTAACATTCTACGAAGCTAGTCGTTATCGATCGCACGGTAATCTACGGAGTGCAGAGATAGAGGGAAACTGTAGAAGCGGGCATGGTAAGTCGCCGTTTTTTAATTTGGACACGGCCACCACGGTTAATGACCGTTGAGCTTGGATTCGGAGCAGATCTGCCGGCGGGACGGTAATTTTTCGGCTACCAAGCGGGAAATCTGTTGGGAAAATGAGACAAGGCCGAAAGCGGTTGCCGGCTCTGTTTTCCCGTGGCTGCGTTCTTGGCCAAACACCGTTTAGTGATTTATACGCGACGACAAATTGGCCGTGCTCTATCGTCGCCGTATTTTACCACTAAAATCGTATTATACCATCTTTATTTAAAATTTTAGTCAAACTTCCACAAATTTAACGTGTCCTCGCTTTTTCTTTCTCTCTGTATCACATCAAAGGATCTCAAGTCCACTTTTCTTCCAAAAATAGAAAAAGAAAAAAAGAAAATTAAACTACCACGAGTGTCTAAAAATGCTCCAACTATTTTTTTTTAAATTATTAACATTTTACCTCGTGTTTTTAATATAATAAAAGTCAATTAGAGTGAAAAATTAAAATCTTCGGAAAGATTGTCTGCTTTTAAGTATCGAGGTCGAAGGTAACGAAACAGCGAAAGGTGATGGGGTGGTTTGGGGTTGGAGGAGGTAAAAGTGGGAGGTTGAACCATAGTCACGTATAAGCAGTGACTCAGCCACGATCCACCCTTCGTTCCGACACCCTTCGTTGGCCCAACCCTCTGTTACCCTTCCTCCTTTCCGCGGCTCCAGTGGCAATCTGTTATTAAAATCAGCAACGAGAAAAATCCGTGCCGTATCTACGCGGGACGAGCCGCGTACCGACAGACGTGTTGCGGCAAAAATTAAGCCACCTGCAAACTCAGAAACAAAATTACTACGATGGGGCTGTGGATGGTTACAGGACACGCTCGTCGGCCACGATTTTATATGGCGTTTTCAGACGAATTCTGAACGTTTTACCGGCTTGCTTGCTCGAAATTTGTATTGACATCTTCGTTCAGTAATATTAATGACACTTTTCCATCAAGATTCTTTTTTATTTATTTTTTTTTATATTTTTTATCTATTGTGTCGAAAGATGAATCGACGTTTTGATTTAAGCGATAGCGGCTTGAAATATTCATCTTCGTTGGGTAGAAACGTGCTTATCGTGTTTGCCAATTGTAATTTAATTGTTCGGCAGCGAGGAAATTGGGAATCTGCTGGCAGCGCGTATCGCATGCACGCCGATATTACAGATCGCTATTCGAATCTATCGATTTCAGTTTATCCGGCTAAAGCCTTCGAAATCATCTGTTCTTCGAACCAACGAAAATGCGATTTCGTAGCACAGACTGCTAATCCGTCAAAAAATTCGCGATCACTTGTCACGTTTCGACGACGTGTCGATAAACATTCCGTTCCTACAAAATTTGAAAAACAAAAAAAAGAAGAAAAATCCACCTTACGCGTGCAAATGATAATTCGTATGGAAGCTAGCCGGTAGTGCAAAGGATTCCATTATTCGTATCGAAGAAGGGAAAATAAAAAATAAAAAGGGAAATAGGGCTAAGGCGTAAGCAGCAGGTTCTCTAAAAAAATTTCAATCAGTTCCGGCGCTGCGAAAGGAGCACAGAAGCTCTTACGGAAACCTTTTAGGATCGTGAAAAGGAGCACAATAATGATCGGATTTTCTCTACCGATATCGATCTCGCGCTCGTGTTTCCACGTCTGTCGTGCCACCTACCTACCAGCCTGTTGGAAGAAAGATTGCCGTCGAAACTGCAAGAGGGTTGCCGCGTGTATTGCGAGCAGGACCTTATCGGCTACGACTCGGCGTTTATTTAAATTTAAAGCTGGAAGATCAACCTCGAACCATTTTACTGATTCTTTTTTTTTTTCTTCCAAAGCACAGAACCTTTCCTCTCTCTAATTCTCGGCTCTTGTCGATCGTCTCCGAGCCAGGCACGTCCCTCGAAAAACTCATTAACGTGTCTCGCTGATTCTTCTTCCCTTTCCCGCGGGAGAAAGGAAACGACGACGACGTGGGTCGAAACGGGCACAGCCCTGGTGGATTCGTGATACTCGATCGTGCCGTTGTAGATTTTTTTTCTCAAGACTGGAGTATAAAAAGTCGATTCAAGGGTTGGCTGTCTTCGAGAAAGGTTTGTCGAAGCATCCAAAGGATAATGTAGGCAAATATAGGGTTCGGTTGTGTAGTTTTTGGCTGAGGGATAAGGAGATAAACTCTGCTTTGAGGTGTTTGTATTTAGAAATAAAGCAAGCTTCTTTTTTTTTTCAATTTTTTAAGAACACTGTCATTATGAATTCGATTAAATCAACGCGTAGGAACTTGAAGAGGGTGCTTCTGTACGTTCAGGAAAAGAACTCGCGCGTTCTGCAGACCGTTAGAATCGCGTCGTCATTTTTTCCACCATGTTAGAACAGCAGACGAGTCGGTTGCAATTAAACGAAAGGACTTCCTTTCTTCTCTGCCACACCGACTTCACGCGCAGAAAAATATTTCTGCTGCTTTTTCAATCTGATTACAAGAGGGAAGTTCGTCAAATGTAACAGCAAGTGCTCGTAATTTTCTTAATTAATCCACGCTGAGCATTCGCGTACAAAACAATCGTTAAACTGAGTCGTCAAGATAACTCGGGTCGCTGTTTATTCGCGATAAACGTAAGAGGAGAGAAAGGATGTTCCTTAATCTAGCGTTATCCTAGAAGAGTATTCTTAC